GGGGGGGGGAGCTGGAGCACCAACATGGGCTCCCCAGTGCTGGTAGGGGGAGCCCTGAGCCTCTTGGGCCAGATCCAGGCAAGCTAGGGACCACATCCAGCCCCCAAGGCCTGAGGTTTGCCATCCCTAATACACAATGTCTTTTTTTAGGGAAAATCAGATCACTATTTTTTCTGTATGTAAAGTTTTTTTCCTGTATCTTTTCACAAAGGATCATTTCTTCCTTCTTTTAAAAATATAACTAGTGGGCTGCTGAAGGATGGAAGTTTCAGAAAGGCAACACTCTTCAGTTCTACAGCAGGCTCACCCGTGGTTTCATACGCCTCAGTCCAGATGGCACCGTTGATGCACTTGGTGACAAGAAGGACAAATATGGTAAAATATTTGTCAGGTGGGGATGTGTGGGTGAACAGCATGAGGAAGGAAGGCATCGCCAGATCATTGTGGATTTCATGTATATGATACAAAGTTAATTCTCACAGGAGAAGAGGATGACAGTCATGAATGCGCTTACTCCAGGAATTGTTGAAAACTATTAATGGCAAAAGCCACATGGTTTTGTTGTAAAAGAACATCTCACTAAAGCCCCTAATTGCAATGAGGAGGAACGGTAGTCCGAATTAGGGGCTTTAGTTCAAACTACCTAGCCCGTGCCACGTGTAGCCGTGGGCACGGAGTTTGAACTACCGGGCATTTAAAAATGGCGGTGCCCGGGAACATGCAAATAAAGCCCGGGATATTTTAATCCCGGGCTTCATTTGCAAGTTCGAATGACTACATTAGCCACCCTAGTTTGAACTAGGGTGTTTAGTGTAGACATACCCTTAGTCTGCACAGAGGCAATAAGCAAATCTATTCAATTTTTAACACTATGGCTTTGACTGATGGATTATGTTTGATTCAATTCCACATGATACCACAGCGTACGTAATTGCTGTGCATGCAGAATCCAAATGTATACTGCTGTTTCTTTCACTGCAACTACTGTATCTGTGTACACTTTCCATTCTGCTTATATGTGGACTTCCGTATGGAAGTTTTTAAACATATAGACACATTACATTTATAGCATCTTCCTTCCATTTAATTCTTCTACTTTTCAGTGAGTAGTATTCTCAGTCAGTGTGTAATCATGCAGGTACCACAACTGTGCACACAGTTACTGCAAATGGCCCTGTAAATGGAGTACTCAGGTAGCACAATTGTGATGTGAAATGAAGGTATGTATCTGCATATGCTTCTTGGTATGAAGAACCCATCTCTACCCTCACACATTCCTTTCAAATGTTGGTGGGACAAAACAGAAAAATGTATTAGTAACTTGGGACCATCTCCTCAAATCATGTAAATCAGGGTAGCACCAGTGCTTTTGATGGAGTAATGGAAATTTACATCAATTGAGGATTTGGCTGATGGATTGTTAATGTTCCAGGATATTTTACCGGAAGCAGGTAGAGCAGTGCCATTGTTGTTGTTATATTTTGAGCTGTAGTTTTGATTCTGGCATGTAAGAACACTGCCAGCATGCAAGATGTCCTCGCGTATGAGATGATCACCGTGAATTTAGTTGATGTAATTAAAACAATAGTTTAACCAGGCGAACAGTGAATACACCCTTGTTTCACGGAATGAATATACGTACTTTTTAACTACTAAACAGCAGGTTGCATCGGGTCTGTTTTATTATGAATTAAACAAAATTAGTCAATAGATAAAAATCTCCAGGCCAGATTCTACCACTCTGAGTAGCAACTTGCACTGCCAGTGGGCCCATCAAGTGATAGAAAAGGCCTCTGGGAGAGAAGTGGCACAGTGGAATTACACCAGTTTGACTCAGTGTATTTATTACTCTGAGTGGGAGTTGTATGCATTTAGGGAGAGTACAATGTTATTTATGTGTTTATTTGTAAAGTGGCAGAGGCCCCAGTTAGGGATTAAGTCTTCACAGAGCAAAAGCACTAAACACTGTGCTCTAAGGAGCACAGCACCGAACTCTCAGCTCAGGAAGGAGGGGATACAGTAGCAATCGCCTAGCACCCGCCCAGTCGTGGGCTGCTCCAGAGATGAGAGAGGTCTTGAAATAATGGGGCCCTGGGCCCTGTTTGAGTTATAACAGCCTCTCTAGGAGCCACAGTGACTATGGTTGCCAGATGGTTTAAAAAAAATACCGGGCAAAAATTCGATAAAAATTTATCGAGCTAAAAAAAAAAAAGCACCGGGGAGTAACGGGAGGTTGGGCCGAAATGAGAGGTTGTGGCCCCTTTAATTGCCACGTGTCCCAAGCGGGCTTCCATTGGGTGCCAAACCGGGCCCGGGAAAAGCAGAGAAACTTACTTACTTAGGGTATGTCTACACTACCCTCCTAGTTCGAACTAGGAGGGTAGTGTAGACATACCCAAAGATTGGTACACTACCCTTGATCTAAAAGATGCCTACTTCCACATTACTATCACACTGCATCACAGATGGTTCCTCTGCTTTATAGTGGGCCAGGACCACTATCAGCTTATGGCCCTCTCTTTTGGCCTTTGTACAGCCCTTCGAGTATTCACAAAGTACATGGCCATTGTGGCCACTGCCCTGAGAAAGCGGGATGTCTAGTGTTCCCCTACCTGGATGACTGGCTTCTCCAAGCTTCTTCTTCGGATCAGCTGCTTGCTCACATCACTCTAGTGCAGGACTTTTTTCAAGAGCTGGGGTTGCTCCTGAACATGGCCAAGTCAACCCTGGTCCCCACCCAGGGTATAGAGTACCCACCTGAACTTGGTGTTGGCCACAGCCTCCCTTCCCAGATCCTATTTCATGATGCGATCAAAGTCACAAAGTCCAGATACTGGACTGTCTGGTTCAATACCGGATACCTGGCAACCCTAACAGTGATGCCTGGAATCTCAGTAGTGCTGTGTGCTGCACCCGGCCTCAGACACACCTTTCGCCCCAGCACCTGCTGGGAATTGCCTTCCATATTGCCTATGCTACAGAAATCCTTCCCTTACGATACGGGTCTAGAGATGCTCCAGCCCTATTACCAGGTTCACAGATGCCAGAATTGGGTTGAGAATTTCTCCCTAAATATATAATGAGATACAACAGGGACCTATTTTGTGTTCTCCTATTGGCAATGTTATTGTTGTAAGCATAATAAATAAACAACTGTCACTGCCAATGCAATAACCGTTGTCAAGGGTTTTGGAGGCATCATGGAAGAGGTTAATCTGAAGAATTTGGAAATTCAGAGCCATGCTACAAAATTTGTTTTTACGAATAATAAATAAAAATCTATCTCTCTATCGATCTTCAGATTTTATACTGCTGCACTTCACTGTATTATCTGTGTGTCTTCCACATAAAATCAATTAGTCATAGAGAGGCCTCCAGTAAATTTAATGGTGTCCCTGGGCTTCCTTTCTGGAGTATTAGAATATGGTAATTATTTTGTTTTGATATGTTACAGATAATAAATCTACTTTTCTCAAGAGATGTTTGCTGTTTGCTGATAACTGTGAGGCAGTGAGCCTTGAATTTATGAGGTTGCCCAAATTAATAGGGAGGAGGTCTGTGGATCAGATCAAATTATGCCTCCACTCTGACTATTTATTTTAAATTCAGCCTTTTCCCTGCCACATAATGTCATTGCAGGATCAGAAGTCACTTGTAGGTATTAGATGTAAAAATCAGTTTAAATATATCTGTGGCTCCACCTTCTTTCTCCCCCAAACTCTTTAGGTCTTTTCGACGTGACTTTCAAAAGAAATGCACGTGTATTTAAGAGTCATCTGATGCCACACCTTGCCCTTGCTCTTGACAATGGCTTTGTCATTGGAAAGGTATGAAATTGCCTTATTGTTTTTAATAGTTTCATATTTTTTATTCTTTGTATTAAATATTTAGTTCTCTGTTCTGAATAGTAGGTACATCCAATCACACGTGAGGCCAACCTACAAACCCACAATCTGAAGTTTGAACTTCCAAAGATCAGGAAAGTTTGGTTTCTGCTTTGGGGCCCATCTACTTTTCTTTTTACTCTTTCCTCCTGTATCTCAGTATCTCACTTAATATTAATAATGGTTCACTGAAAAGGATCTGATTTAAGCAGCAAGGAATATTATGAGCTGTGTTTCATTGTTCATACCATTTAGTCAAATATTGACAGTATATCTGCCATGCTCTGACATCTCTCCATGGATAATTATCAGTGCCAAGGGATAATTGTAAATATCTTGTTATTTCCCTATCACTTTTAATAACTAATCTGCCTTTCTAGGGCTTATTTCAAGTTTATATTCCAAGCCTAGCTAAATCCCCTCATTTCTCATCTTCTTCTCAATGGTAGATTTTGGTCAATAGCCATAGATAGTACTTTTTTAACTTGCACCTTTTCCTGATCTCAAGCTTCTTGGAAAGTCAAGCAAATAAAACCTTGTAAGACCTATTGGGTGGGAGCCAAAGAAACTGGATCTCATTTAGTGAACTTATGTGGAGGGTTCTTCCACAGAAATATTCCCTCTAACTTTTTCCATCCATGTGCAGATTTTTTGTGTTTTTATGTGCACTGAGGCATGTGCAAATATGCACCACCAGTAGAAACAAAAAAACTTAGCTGGCTTTGCTAATCAGCTGGGCAGCATTTGAATCTCCTCTAGGAGGTCGCATAAGCGCACAGCTTACTATTCCACAGCCCTGGTCAATTCAACTGGCTGATCTATGGCCAGAAGATACAGCCTAGGTGATATCAGAACTTGCAAGTTTTGGAGGTGGGAAAGAAAGAGACCTTGCCCCAACCCCTTCTCAACTTGCAAAGTTCCTGAGCTCTACATTAGAGAGATTTGTAAAGAATGGAGCGCCTGAGCGCTGCAGGAGAAGCTTTTCCATCCCATCTCTTGTGAAGCCCAGGAACCCTTTAGAAGAGAGTCTCTTTGTGTCCTCCTGAGAGATCTTCAAGAAATAGACACCTTCTTATTTTCCTCTTGAGCACCCTCCCTTAGCTCACTTCAGAACGAGTGGACTTTCTGCACTGCACAAAAGAAGTCCTCTCCCTTTTCTCTCTTCTCCCTTTTCTCACCTACTGTAGAGATACTGAGCTCAACAGGAAAGAGTCTTCCTCCCTGAAGCAAAGCCCAGCATTGCTCTGCCACAATGTGCACAATACAAGTGCATCCACACTGCACCTGTGGGTCAAAATGAGATATGCAATTTGAGCTATGCAAATTGCGTATGTTATTTCTATCTAATTTCAATCACAGCACCAAATTTCAAAATAAAGCTCTATTCTGACAAGCCCCTTAATCTTTGTGGAACAAGGCTTCCAGGGACACCAGAATAGCGTGCCCATTATTTCTAAATCTATTTTGAAATAACAGGCATGTTTAAAGATGCAGAATATCTATTTGTGGTATCCTGAAATAGCGCCACTGCCTAAACGTAGCCTATGTTATTAGGCAAGCGGAGTTGTGTGAAAGGTGGTTCTTTTAGGTAGAGAATGGAACCAACTGTGTTTTGGTTTTCCTTATTTGAGTAGTGCCTGAACTAGTGGTCAGAGCAGGTTATAAGCAGGCTATACTATGCATTGGTATTAGTGGGAGAAGAGTTTACTCAGCACCTTGCAGAACTGGACACCTATTTGGGAATTGCTTTGAGCCACAGAACAAACAATACAAATTTCCCTCTCCTTGTTCCACACAGCAATAAAAATTATTCTTGTTCTCACCATCATTACAAATAGGAGACTGGGTGAAATGAGTCCAGTCTTCTATTTCCATGTCTGTCACTTTTTGAACTTGAGCAAACCACTTAAAGTCCCTACTTCAGTTTACCAGCTCAAAATTGCATTTAGAGCAATTTAGGGTCAGGCAGGGGGTTCAGGTGTGTGGTGGGCTCAGGGCACAGGGTTCGGTTGTTGGGGGGAGTACAGGAGTATTATGGCAAGGATGTGAGGGTGCAGGAGTCTGGGTTGGGGTGGATGAGGGGCTCAGTAGAGGGTTAAGGTGTGTGGGAGGTGCAGGAAGCAGGGCAGGGTGCTGTGGGTGGGAAGTAGAAAATGTGGGGCCTTGGGGACAGATTACCTTACCTGGCCGGGGCTGGGCTGCTGCACCCAGACAGCAGTGGCTGGATGAGGGGCCAGACCAGGATGGCTGCAGCTGGATTTTGGCCTCCTCTCCTACACATACCGCAGGAAGATGGGAGGAGAAGCAGGCGGCACCACCAGCCCTTCATAAGGGAGTCGTGAGGATTAATTAATCGATTAAAGCACTTTGGATCCTTGGAAGAAAGGTGCTGTTCAACAGTAAAACAGTAGTGTAATACAGTCAACATTTTCGTAGCTTTTAGATATAATCAAAGGTCTTACGACTCTTGTTTCACAGCCTCATCTAAATGCCATGTGATGATTTCTTTTATTCTCAACAGCTTCAATTAGAGCTGGCTGAAATGTTTTGAATTAAAAGGGGTTTTTTTAATGAAAAAATGGCCTTTCTTGGGAACAAAATATTTCATGACCTCTTGTCTCTTTAAAATGTTTCCCCAAAAGGTTTATCACCTGTTTTTTTAATCTAATTTTTGGTTTTAAAAGTTATCAGAACTGTTATAAAAATGACTACTGACATTTTGTCAATTTTCTAAATGTGAGTTTTCTGTAAATGAGAGAGTTTAATGTGTTAGAACAAAAACCTTAATAATTTTTTTGAAAAATCAAGAGTCCACTGTGAAACCATGAAATCTTGCAACTTTTCATTTTTTGCCCAGCTCTTTTAGGAATCCAATACCGTGTATGTTTTTGTGCATAGTGTCTTTCATACAAAAGAACCAGGAAATAACTCAGCCCTTTACAGGCTAATCATGCAAATACAAATAGAAAGCCTGATTTCAGTCCTGTAGGTTGCTTCCTTCACTAGACATTTATACAGAGTCATTATACACCATCGGGGGGGGGGGGGGGGGGC